TGCATCAGTGAAAAAACACAGAGCTGAGTACGAGTTTGCAAAAGCATCAGTCAGTCTGATTAAGTGTGTCTCTGTGGTGATTATTCCTGATAATGAGCACAGCATCTGGCACATGGAGCTAATTGTATTACTTGTAATGTACTTATAATATTATACAATACATTCTTGATAATGGTGGTGTGCTGCTGATAACTTTTAGGGCGCCCAGGATAACTTGCTTGTATCTTTTTTTGCTGTGTGTGTGTGTGTGTGCAGCCTGTGGAGATCTCTGTGATTTACTGTGTTGTTCTGAACCATTTATAAGAAGCCTGAGCTCAGACGCTTTACAAACTGTACAACCACAACTGAACCTGCGCCGCCAGAGCCTAAAGCTGCAGATCAAAGACAAATACAAGTTTTTATTATTCTCAGTGTAAGGATAGGCAGTGCTTCATGTGAAAGCTCAGAACCTCCAGAGTTCACTCACTGAGCTGGAAAGGCTGCTTTTTACAGGGTATCCCCGGGTTTGACTACCCCAAATTTAAGACTTTTTTAAGACCGTTTTAAAACCAACATCACATCCATTATGCAGGTGAAAAACACCAGGTCTAATTCTAATAATGACCAACCAACTACCGGTACTATATCTAAAATCTAAGTCTGCATTTATACAATGACGGTCCAAACAGAAGACACAAAAGTGGCGTCGCGTCTTCACTTATTATTCCGTGTTTAGACGAGCGTTTTCGGGAGGAAGTCTACAGAAGCTGGGAGGGGTCACAACAAACACAAACGCCGCAACAAATGCAAATGCGACAACACAACAAAAAGCCACAACAAAAATGACCACGGGACTCTATTTTAATGCAAACGCCGCAACAAATACAAACGTCACGACACAAACGCAAATGCCACAACACATTAAAAAGCCACAACACATCAAAAAGCCACAATGGAAGTGACCGCGGGACTATATTTTCCGATGGACCGATCAAGTGAAAAAGAAGAACTACAACGTGAAATGAATAATGATAAAACAATACATTACTTTTACTTACGTTTCCAACTTCTCCATTCCTTTACTTTTCACGAGTCCTGCGGTCACTTCCGTTGTGGCTTTTTGATGTGTTAATGTTGTTGCAGCATTTGTGTTTGTATTGTGACGTTTGTATTTGTTGCGGCGTTTGCATTAAAATAGAGTCCTGTGGTCATTTCCGTTGTGGCTTTTTTTGATTTGTTGCGGCGTTTGCATTTGTTGTGAAATCTCTTGGCTTCCGTAGAAATCTGCGTGCATTTGGTGACGCAAAAGTGTGTGGAATCCGATTGGGTATGCATGTCAGGTGGCTCGGTGGTGACGCTAGGTGGTGATGCATGTGACGTAAACGCGTACGTGACGTAAGGGGATCTGACCATAGTTTTGGAACTGTTGGAACAGTTGGAACTGATTGTTTACTCATTTCCACCGGCGCCAAAAAACAAAGTATTGTTGGCGCATGCTCCAAATTAGAAGTTCATTCATGTTCTCACATTGATGTTTTTTTCCTCCTTCCATTTAACATTGCACTGCAGCCCGGTTGAGTAAACAAAAAAAAATAGGCTAATTAAATTTAAGACCTTTGTGAAAAAAATAAGAATTGGACAACATAATTTAAGACCATTTAAGGCCTTAATTTAGGAACATGAAATTTAAGACCTTTTTAGAACTTTTAAGACCTCGCGGCCACCCTGTTTAAACAACTTCACAACTATCATGTCCAATGTTTTTGTAATCAGATCTATTCACGTTACGTCACAAATCCGGAAGATGTTTGGAAAGGTGCGATTACAACTTCCGACGGCTCTGTTCGCAGTAGTAAGTCTGACAAAATCAAGGAAAATTGATAAAATGTCCCAGTTTTCTTCATTTACATGTCATTGTAGCATTCCGTTATGTTCAACTAATCAACAATTATTAGGGGTGTAGCGATACTTAACGATAAATTTAAAAGGCCCAGACAGACCTGGAGTTGTGTTAATGATAGGGATATAACGATATCCAAATCCCTCAATAGGATATTTTCACGACCCGCATGTCATGGTACGATATTTATTGCGATATTTTGTGGAGTCTATGCTATTTTTTTCCTGTAAAAATGCCTTGACAGTAAGGATGTAATGATATCCAAATCTCATGATACGATATTGTAATGGTATGAACCTCACGGCACGATATTTATTGTGATATTTTGTGGAGGCGAACAAAACTGTGAATATGCTACTTTTTCCTTTTAAATTGCCTTGACATGACTAAATCCAAAGAACTAAGACTTAAAAGTGCTTAGAACTGTTATTTCTTCATGTAGTCTACACTGAAATGGAGCAAAGGATCATGGTCTATGTAGTTCTCTCTGTCTTTTTTTTTATTTAAGAAAAGAGACTTGTAATTCGATATATTGTGATGGTCCACGATTTTATTGTGAGAACTTTGACGATACGATATCACGATATTTTGGTTACTGTTAAATCCCTAGTTGACACTCCTTTAGTCTGTCTTTTCTGTCATCATCCAAAGAACAAAAATTTAAAGTGCTTATTCTAACATAATTTCCTCATGCTCTCTGTGCTGAAATTAAGCAAAGGATCATGGTCTATGTAGTTCCCTTGGCTTTTTTAGTTGATGCTATACTATAACAAAGAATTTAATCAAAGAGACTTGTAATTTGTTAATTTATGATGGCTCACGATATTACTATGAGACTTTTGATGATACGATATCACAATATTTCGGTTATTGTTACATCCCTAATGTTTAACACACAAACCCTGCATATTTTCCTCTTAAAATGTCTTAACAAGACTTAATCCCAAGAACTAAGACTTAAAAGTGCTTAGAACTGTTATTTCTTCTTGTAGTCTGCACTGAAATGGAGCAAAGGATCATGGTCTATGTAGTTCCCTCTGTCTTTTTCTTAGCTTTTGCTGCACCATAACTTTTAATTTAAGCAAAGAGACTTGTAATTTGATATATTGTGATGGTCCATGATATTATTGTGAGAACTTTGACGATACGATATCACGATATTTCGGTTATTGTTACATCCCTAATTACAAACATACCTCAGTTGTCGGTGGGGTGCCCAGTGTCGGTAACTACATCTGAAGTTGTAATCACATCTTTCCAGACGTCTTCCTGCATGAATAAAACCTATTAGGAATAAACCACATTACAAATATCATCAACAAAAACAATATTTGAACATGTTTACTTCATATCTGGGAACACAGTTTGCTCAGTTTGTGAAATCTTGTCAATCTTAGTTGCTTTAAAGTTGAGTTCCGTTTCTACAGTAGATGAAAAGCCACATTTTTGGACTGAATTTCCTGCGTATGTGATGTAACAACTGGTTTCCTTATTTTCCCCGGTAGAGCCCGACATCCTGCGGTATCATTGCGGTGATGTTCTATCCATTTTGTCGGAGGGAACAGGTGCAGACTAACCAGGGGTAATTATGCCCCACACTTTCCTCTTTCTCTGAGTGACGCCTGCAGCAGCGAGGCCCCTGTCACACCATTATCCGGGCCTAGAGGACTTTAGACATGTGACGTGATCTGCTCATTACAGCGCAAGTCAAGCAGAGGGCAGACACGTGAAAGAAAAATAGGTTCAACTCTCAAATCAATCAATTAGTTTTTGTTAAAAGGAACTGCAAGTACGATTTAGATTTTAAAATATTCATGAACAAAGGTACAAAGTAGACATGTTCAAATTAAATAGCTCTTGCTGGTAACAATTATAAAGCTGATTTACTCTTCATTAGCACAAACATTGGATACGATGGCAAAGTTGTTTATGTTATAATTTGGTGTTTTGATTCTCAAGACAATTATCCAATCAGAAAGCAGAATGAGCCTCACCTCAGTCTCTCATTTTTCCGGTTATAGTTTCACTGTCTGAATCCAGCTGGTTTAAACCTAAAAGAACTCTCTTTGATCTGAATCCTCACGACATAAACCCAGGCACCTGCATAATTTAACATATACAGATTTAAGACTATATTTAACCGTGTGCTGCTAAAGCAAAACATTAACTCTTGCTGACCATGTTTTAAAGATCTTACATTACATAAAATTAACTCCTGACGTCCTTATTTACCCGGGACAGCCCCAGTTTTGAGTCGTGTGTCCCCTGTCTCACCAGATTTGTCCAAAACCTTGATTTGTCCCTCTTTTATACAAGAAATGTGCCTATTTTTGACCAATTTGATGCCTGCCAACAGTAAAGAGAGGCATAAATTGTCGCTTGATTAGGTAAAATACAGAAAAGCTGCATAAAAATGGCCAAAACACAAAGAAAATGTCTCCTTAATTACGCACTCGATTCACAATTTTATCATTACCAACCAAAACAAACCAGGAGTGTCCCAGTTTTTAAATTTTGAAAATCTGGTCACCTTATTTAAACCATGTTACAATGTTGTTACCTCCTAAAAAACATACCTGGAGTTGTGTTTTGTTTCATTCACAGATGTTTTAGTTGTCCTGGTTTAATTTCCAAAGCTAAAAAAAATGCTTTGTTCCATGTTGTGATGACATGAAGCGGTAGTTTTCAAGTTAACATCTACTTTTTACCTTTTTGTTCAGTAGAAATCGGCAATGAAATCATCCAAATGATTCTAGTGAAGGTGCATGAAGTTACAAACACAGAGGAGCACTTCCTGTTTTACCGTGACGTCACAATTTGGCACAGAACGTTTTTTGGTTTGAGAGAAAAACTCATCTTAAATATGCAAGATTTCGTGTGTTAAACATGTGAGAATGAAACAAAATGCAACTCCAGGTATGTTTTTGATGAGGAAACAATAATAAAATCGCTTAGAAAACAGGATAATTCGTGCCCTTTAACCTTCACCTAATCACTTTGTTTTCTTGAGTGGACAGAGTGATGTTTCTCGTCATTCCGATGGGTCCCTGGTGGCTGATTTGAGTAACACATGAAGCCAGAAAAGAAAAACGAGGCAGCCCAGCCCGTTTAGTCAGTCATGGTCGGGGGGGGAGGGAGGAAATCGTATGCGGATCTGTGCGCCTTCCTCCGCTGCACCGCCCTCTCCGTGCTCTGCCCCGGCGCGCTCTCCTCCCGTCCTCACCGTATTCACAGCGGCATTTTGACCGAAACAGCTCTTTTCGGGGGTGTTTCCCGTGAAGTAATGCCCAGGCTGACGCGGGTGTGAGCCGGAGAAAGAGAGCTGAACATGGCTTCGTTGCGGATGGTCGGTAAAGTTACGCTGGGACTTCTGGGAGCGCTTCATCCTCCTCACGCCGTTCTCAAAAATCCTGCCCCGATTGCACTTTTCCACCAGGCAAGTCTTATTATTGTGTCGAGATATGTTGCTGGCTTGTTTTGGTGACCTTACACTTGCTTTAAACTAAGAATCTTTGACGGGTTTGCCAAGTAGGCTACAGCAGGATCCGTGTCAGTTTGGTAACTTTTTTGGTTGGATGCTGCCCGCCTGTTGTCACGGAAGAAAAACTCCACGGCTGCAGCTGTAGTCACGTTTTTCTCTATTTTTTAGACGTGCATTGTGTCTGTCCGTGGTATGTCGTTTGGCTGCTTTATGAAATTAGATTGAGAAAACATTGCACTAACCACAAACTCCAACTCACCTTTGCACAAAGTCATGCGTCAAATCAAACGCGAACAGATGTCAGTACAGTCCATGCCTCTGTGGACCTGACTCTGCCCGATACAGGTCTGCTTTACCAGCTGTTACGAGAAATTTGTGAAACTGGAATGTGGTTTAAAGCTTCTATATTACACAAAATTGACTCTTTAGGAGCTTTAAGTCGTGTTATAATATGGTTACCTGGTCAAAAAACATACCCAGAGTTGTGTTTTGTTTCATCCTTACACGTTTGAGTAATCCTTTTTTATGAGTCTGTACATTTTCAAAGCTCAAAATGCTCTCTTCCACCTTGTGATGTCATGAAGTGGTAGTTTTCAAGTTAAGCGTCACCTTTTACGCTTTGTTGAGCAGAAATGGGCAATTCCAGGGTTGAAATAATCCAAATTAACTCTAAACTCTAAATATGCAGGGTTTGTGTGTTAAACTTTAGGGATGTAACAATAACCGAAATATCGTGATATCGTATCATCAAAAGATTCACAATAATATCATAAGACATCACAATGTATCAAATTACAAGTCTCTTTGATTAAATTCTTTGTTATAGTATAGTGTCAACAAAAAAAAAGCCAGGGGAACTATAGACCATGATCCTTTGCCTCATATCAGCACAGACAGCGTGAAGAATTTATGTTACTATAAGTACTTGATGACAGAAAAGACAGACTAAAAACTGTCAAGTAGGGATGTAACAATAACCAAAATATCGTGATATCGTATCTTCAATGTTCTCGCAATAATATTGTGGACTATCACAATATATCGAATTACAAGTCTCTTTGCTTAAATTAAGAGTTATGGTGCGGCAATAGGTAAAAAAAGACAAAGGGAACTACATAGACCATGATCCTTTGCTCCATTTCAGTGTAGACTACATGAAGAAATAACAGTTCTAAGCACTTTTAAGTCTTAGTTCTTTGGATTAAGTCTTGTCAAGGCATTTTAAGAGGAAAAAGTAGCATATTCACAGTTTTGTTCGCAGCCTCCATAAAATATTGCGATAAATGTTGTACCGTGAGATGTACATCTTTAAATTATCATATTGAGAGATTTGGATATTGTTACATCCCTAATTGTGAGCCTTCCCACCATAACATGAGCTTTCCCACAATATCGCAATAAATATCGTACCATGAGGTTCACACCATGAGAGTATCGTACTGTGAGACTTGAATATCTTTACACCCCTACTGTCAAGGCATTTTTAAAAGACAAAAAATAGCATAGACTCCACAAAATTTCGCAATAAATATCATACCGTAACATGCATATCGTGAAAATATCATATCGAGAGTTGGATATCGTTAGATCCCTATTTAACATGTGTGAATGAAACAAAACACAACTCCAGGTCTGTTTTTGATGAGGAAACAACATTATCACATAGATCAGAAAATAGAGTAATAATATAGGCCTTTTAAACTTTAAAATTCACAGCATTAGGCTAATTGATACTAATTTAATCTGACCTTTTTAGCCTTGTAAAAACTTGGCTTGAAGAATGCCAACATCACACAATATCGAATTACAAGTCTCTTTGCTTAAATTAAGAGTTATGGTGCAGCAATAGCTTAAAAAAAAGTCAGAGAAAACTACATAGTCCATGATCCTTTGCTCCATTTCAGTGCAGACTACATGAAGAAATAACAGTTCTAATACTTTTATGTCTTAGTTCTTTGGATTAAGTCTTGTCAAGGCATTTTAAGAGGGAAAAAGTAGCATATTAACAGTTTTGTTCACAGCCTCCACAAAATATCGCAAGAACTGAAATATTGTGATATCATATCGCCAAAAGTCTCGCAATAATATCGTGGGCTGCTGAAATGCATAGTTTTACAGTAGCAGCAGCTTATAAATATAGGGAACTCCATATCCCATGATTCATTTCAGAGCAAACAACACAAAGAAATATGTTTTGTACTTGAATTCTTGGGATTATGACAGAAATAATTCACACCAAAGTTAGAAGCATAAACTTGTCTGATCTACAATTACGTTAGCCACTCCAAAATATCGCAGTAGATATCGTACCGTGAGATGCATATCGTGATAATATCGTTACATCCCTTACCTTTAGTCCTGTTTGGGGAAAGATGCGTTGTTTTCTGGACTAGGACTAGAGCGGTCCAAACAGAGCGGGGTCCAGGCTGTGTACAGTTAGTTTAGCCTGTACACAGTCTCTGGGTCCAAGAGGCTTTTTGGTGCTGGAGATAAATCAGAATCTGCTGTCAGAGGATTTACAGTTTCTCTGAGCTGTTCTGACAGTGCTCGAGCTGCAGAAGAGGCTGTCACTGCTTTCTGGAACTTAAGCCTAAACCTAGCCTTAATATGACACACACTATGGCAGTTATTTTATTCTGTTTGTGCTGTAACCTTGAATAATTACACGGTTTAATGCACGAGAAAAAACAAACGACAACGGAAACAATGGCAGGATATGCGAGGGTCACGTGGGGCGTGCCAGCTCTTGTAAGTGCTATAAAGTTGAAGCGGGTGATGACAGCAAGCTCATATTTTATCAGAAAACACAGTGGCATTTTCACTTAAACCCTTATTAAGCAAAGAGACGGTGTAATTCCTCATTCCTGTCATTCCTCCTGGAGTATTTCAGCGTGGAGACGGTCACTGAAACTGTTTCTACACTTTTTAAACCGTGCACTTTCAAAGCCAACGGAGCAGTGAGTTTATTCTGTAATTTATTTCCTTGGTCAGATATTGCATTGGGGTTGTAGTTGCACTAATCACACAGGGTTGGCAATGATTTACTATGAACAAAAAGTTGCTGCATATAAAAACATGTCTTGTTGCCAGACTGGTGGGTGCAGCAGTATTTAGTAGGCCTGTCACGAGATTTACTATAGCGACTTATTGTGCATTATATTGACTATTAACTATGACATGTAGCTTTTCTTTGCACTAACATGGATTTCTTTGTAGTATTAAGCTGGTTACATTGGAGCTGTACTTTGTTAAATAATAAGCATCTGCTATTTTTGTATTCCTGGCGTGCTTTTTACAATATGGGTCACAGTGAAATCCATTTCTGGTTGACCCATATTACTTGGGTATATGGGTTTTACATCAAACCCACAAAATGAAGGAAGAGTAACACAGTCTGTATTAGTGTCTTATGTTGTCTGTCATGACTCATGATGACTGGCTCCGGCGGCAGTGACTAAGACTCTGCATATTACTGTAAAACAGGAACAACATTGGGTAGTTTTGTTGAAAGGATTAACAACAAGATATCATTTTTTGCAATTCTCTGACTTCTCTAACATCTGTTTCATAAAAAAATAAAAATACAGCCTCATAGAAAGCCACATTTCTTTGTCCCAGTGGTAAACAAGTGGGAGAGAAGGAGATAATTCACACTCTGTCACTGCTTGCTGTGCATTTAAAATGACAATGCAGTAACTTTTTACAATTTTTTACAAAATTGTGTAAAAATGTGAGATTTCAGTGTGAGGATAATGGAGCACTGACATTGTTTTTCTTGACTGATGCCAAACTCCATGAGCAGCCATATGGTCTATTTTAAGGCCAATTTGTAGAGCCAATTTAATATGTTTTACCAATTTATGTTGTGTAAATCCACTTCAACTCAGTTACGATGCAATGCTCTACTAGAAAACATCTAAAAAAAATCAATGGTTGCTATTGACATCTACACTACAAACCCAGAGAGCAGAGCCACTTTTTGTGTCATTCCCTGTTTGAACTAAAGTGTTCAAACAAAGATTTGTGTATCTTCTTCAGTCAGGTGATCAAATATCAGTCTGTGCTACTGACCTTATTCCAGAAGCTGCCACAGTGCTACAATTATGAATGCCATTACCACCATTGCTACTGCTATTATTGCATGCTTTTTTTTTTAAAAAAAAGGCTGCCAATCTCTACAGCTAGCCTGATTCATCAGACGGTTTCATTTCGTGAAACTGTCTGACCTCACAGCATTAGGGTTCGTTCACTTGACAGTAGGCAGGTACTTTTTTATTTAACCAGTCGCTGCTGTTTGGTCATGACGTATGTAATGTTCCAAATCTCGTAGGAAGAAGGGGAATAACGTCTTTCCCCTTGATAAAATTCGCCAAACATGCTCTTTGTTCTGGCTTTAAATCCTCGATCTCAGGAATCATTGCCAATCGTCTAGATCCATCTCGACTGCTTTGTTTACTGTTGTGCTGTACCATTAAAAGGGACCCAGACAGGCGCTTGAGTTTGACGTCATTGCTTCACAGCTCTTTGCTGATTGGCTGGTGCGCGGTCTACACCTTCCGGGGTTCTTGCAAACCGTCTAGTGTAATCCGATTCCTGACCTAGTCATTGGAGAGAAATGAAATTGAGTGGAGGCACTAGGTGGCGTCAGCCTGGCTACTCTACAGCAGACATGTCTAAACTTTTCTCATCAATGGCCACATATCTATACACAAGTGAAGCAGAGGGCCAATTGATCGCCATAGAATAGTGATTAATATAGAGAATAATTGAAATATGTGCCTTTTTATAACAGGTTAAAATGTCCCACCAGACCTTCATTGATGTTTAGATCCTAGAAAGGACACTTTAAATATACTACAGCAAATAAGTTATATGGACTACAAAGCTATTTTCAAGCAGAGAAAGTGTGCACTGTGGACTTGTTGGTGGAAATGAATGTTTTGCATTTGACACAA